CCTAAGTCAATCTCAAATGTTTTGACATGCAAAACACTTTGACCTGGAGCATAGAGGTGCTATCATATGGTAACCAAAAATCTCAGGACCAAAGTCTACACTTACCAGTAGTATAAGTCCCACGGACATGAAGATAGCACAGACAAACATCCCACTCATTCCTATTAGAAACAGAGAGCGTCGCCCTGCCTTCTCCACAAGGAATACCTAGGAAGGTTTCAAAACATACTGAATTAAATGGTTTTTATGGCCAAAGAGGTCGTTTTAATTTATACAGCTGGAAACAGGCAGTTCTGTAATCCCATTTTTACAGATGTGGAACTGAGTGGGGGTAGTGACTCTTGCCTGAGGTGGCAGAACTGTCTCAGTTAGCAGAAGTAATTAACAGATACCAGCTTCACTCAGTCACATTGCTTTCAACAGGCGATTCTGGAAAAAGAGCCATGGCCTTACCATCACTCTACAATTATCACTTGAGTACAGTGTTAAGAGGCTGTACCTCTCGGATCTCTTCCAGTAGATTTCTTATACATTTAAAATGACACTACATAAAAAATGACATTAACTTATCTTTTGATAATTATCCTGTTACAAGTACAAGGTTTTGTGCACTGCAGACACCTGAAATCATGTAACTGTTGGGTTGCCAACCATTCTTATCCAACTTTCTCACTGCTTAATAAAGTCAAATTATGGCCATTCATGTGGCAACTCACAGAATTTGATCACTTTACCAATTAGTCAGATCTGCATTTTTCTGGTGTCCCTAAATGTATTTGGTGCTGGAAGTGAACTATCTATTTGAAAAGATAAGACTTCGAAGCAAAAGCTTAAAGTGCTTTCTTATCCTAATTCAGGAGATGTGTCATTGATACCTTTGGGTCTGTGGACCTTTGCAATTAATGGTTAAGATTTACAATTAGCCAAGACCAATATTTGTTAAATAGACTCTTCTTCTTGGAATACTGCCAAGGTTGGTGAATCACACACAAAAAACTATGTCATAATTTCTCACTTCGATGACTAAATTGGCTCGGCTCATAAATCTATCGGGAAATCTATAGCAATCCAATACCCTTGAGCTCTGGCTCTGAAAATACCTGAGAAACATTTGTTTTCACCTATAGCAAAAACCCCTTTAATTTCAGAGGCATTGCATCTTCAGGTTTCAAATCACTTCAGGGTAATGAGCAAAGAGCCCACATTTACTATTGAAAAGGTAATAGGAGAAACAAATCTTTTCCAAGTTCATAACATTTCTCTATGTAATTTGATTCTGTCAGTATAACTTTCCAAGTTGACTTGATGACACCATGTCAAAGCTATCAAGAAAATAGAAGCATTTCTTCAATAATGAGGGCTTTTACTATGTTTCTGCTGTTTCTGAACAATTATTACTAATAGGATAATAAATTCTAAAACCACATGCCTTGGAAACTGAGTTGGACTCATTTCTTGAGGCTAGGTGAGCAGTTGGGGAGGAGTGTGGCCCAGGGTGAGACTTGGTCAGGGGTTAGAGATGTTTGCCTAACCAGAATCCTTGTCTTTGCCCAAGACAATGTGTGTCACACAGGTTCTGGATGCCTCCTTGGAGTTTAGTAGCCACTGCTTCTCCTCTAGATCCATCTGTCTCCCCATTCCCTCCACAATTCTTCCTGTTTTGTTTTCTCTCAACATTATAGGCCCTCTTCTCCTGGCCCATTAGTGTGGAAGAAAATATGGAATGTGGAAGCATAATTCAGCATGGGGTTAGGAAAATCTTTCTTTTCCCAAATACTCATTCAAGAGAAAAAAATTGTTTGATTATGTCCCTTCCAAGTCACTGAAACATTAATATCCTATCAGTGCATATTCCTACATGCATATCTGTATTTGAAAGGATACACATTGGTTAATTTGGGGGAGAGGAATTGGGTGACTTAGGGACTATCCTTTTTGTACTTTTTCTGCCTTAAAACAACTTTCCAAAAATACATGTAATTAAAAAATTTAGCCCTGGAGGGTTAATTAGGTAGCTGATTAGAGCTTATTTTTAAAATTATGTCACTCATCTGTTCAAAATCTTTCACAGAATAACAGGATAAACTCTCAGAGGGTATATTCAGAATAGTCAGGATACTTTTCAAGGCAACAAGCAACTCCTCCTATTCCAACTGGATTGGTGGGGAGGGGAGACAAAAATGAAATTCTGCAGTAGTTTCCTTATTAGGCATTTAGAGTTTTGGTTACTCAATTTTGACAACCTGATGCTTTACATAGCAAATCCTGTTACATATAAAATGTTTTAAGCATAATCTCTATATTAAAAAAATATTTTGAAGTGGGGCTTGTAACAAACGTAGCTCAGGAGACAAAAGAATGTGAGTAGTCCCTTGGATCACATCCCAGTAGCAGACCTTCATCGATTTCAAGTGGCCTTTTGGCTTGAACAGGCATTATCATGAAAGGCATGTCTACAGAACTGCTGGTATTCCCTTGTTATCTGTTCTCTTTCCTCTTTCCAAGGTCCAGCACTGTTTAATGTAGTCTGGACAAATCTGTTTTTTGATCTAGGTAACCGGGCTGTAATTTATTGACCATTCTAAGGTAACAGTTAAAAGTCCATGCGCAGAGAAAGAAAACAACTGACTAAAGTATATTGAGTACAGACAGCATTGTGACCAACATTGAAAAGCATGAACTTTTTGAATATCCTGCATTTGAAGATAAAAATCAGCTCAGTTGTCCTCATCTTAGAATGAATTACATGAGTTGGGAAGTTTGGGGAGTTTTTTGTTGTTTGTTTACGTTAATTCTTCAATTGTTTATGTGAAATATCATTGTCAAGATATTGAATCAGTCCTTATATAAGGTACTTGGTCTTAAGTGGGCTATATCACTTTTTCCCCTTGTCAGAAAAAAATAATAACATTTCAAAAATAGTAACATTTCAAATTATACCACTTCCACTTCGTCTCTCATAATATCACAGACTTTTATGCATCACCTCATCACCGGAAGTTATGGCCTTGTGAGCTCTCTGGAAACTGCCCAATAGGCAAATATCGTAGGAATTTGCTGAGGCTGTTTAATTCTGTTACAGACAGATATATCTATTGCAGAAGACCTTTTTTTTTTTTTTTTTTTTAAGTATTTTCCCCAGGGCATCAGGATAAAAAAAAGAATTTCAACCACGGAAAGAGAGGAGCCAGGTAAAAGACCCGATATTGATAGAAATGACAGACTGTCACCAATCCCAATAGATTTAAGTACAGAGCAAAGGAGGACTCCAGGTGTTTTTACAAGGAGGAAGTCCTCTGTGTCCCAAGTGAGTTATTAATTCACAAATGAGTGACTAACTGGCATCCCTACTCTGGGGATAACCAGTGATCCACCTGCTCGGTTATACTTGGTGGTTCATTATTTGCAGAAAGGACTCTTCTTGTGACTCACTTGGTTCTCTGCATCTATAGAACAATAAGTGATTGGTCACTTTTGGATTACAAGGTTCTCCCCTCTCCCATTTCTGTACTGAGAAACAAGCAGCATACTTATCTAGGGTATGAACTCACAGAGATAGCAGTGAAAACCATGTTGACGGCACCAACTCCAATGGTTGCATAAACAGGTTGGCTGATTCCAGCAGTCTGAAAAATGCTGGTTGAGTAGTAAAATATCTGTAAAGTAATAACAGTTTAGCCTTAATCAAGAATCCTGGCACTAATGGCTTGAAAGCAAGAAATATTTTAAGTTGTTTAGTTTTAGTTGTTTCTATGGAACCATGTTCCCTACAATGCCCTAAAGATTTTGTCTGTCCTCTCCTTCCAGGAGATGAGAAACCACTATCAATCTTTAGTATTTAAAACTCCTGATTGCTTAAAGTTCTCTTTAAATTTAGCTGAAAACTCTGAATCTGCATTTCTTTTTATATGTACTTAAAATTTTAAACTTTATGTTAAGGTATAAAATACATACAAAAAATGTACACATAGCATAAGTATACAGATCAATTAATTTTCACAAACTGAACACACCTGTGTAAGCAGCACACAGATAAAGATATAAATCATGTCTAGTCCTCCAGAAGCTCCCAGAATGTCCCCCTATTCTCCCAAGGAAATGCTTCAACTTCTAACAGCATGATAAATTCCACCTAGTCTTGTACTTGCCATAACTGGAATCATACTGTGTGAATTACTTGTTATCTGGCTTCAACATTACCTTTGTGAGGATCATCCATATGGTTATGTGTGCTTGTACAGTGTTGATTATCATTGCTTAGTACTTTGTTGTATTAATATACCACTATTTATTACCCAATCTACTACTGATGGGTATTTAGGTAGTTGTCATTGGCGATTGTGAAGGGTGCTGTTGTGAACGTTCTAGTATAATCCTTTTGGTGAAACACGTACATATTTATGCCTGGGGATAGAATTGCTGGACCATAGTGTATGCATGTGCTCACCTTTACAGATACTGGCAAACAATTTTCCAACTGACACTCTCACCCATGTGTGTAAGAATTCTGGTTGCTACCACGTTTAATCCAACATTTTTCACTAATCCTCAGTGGACATGGAGAAATCTTCACAATCTCTCTAATAGCCTTTCTTACTAATTATGTTTTTATGTTTATAGCGGTCTTGTTTAGGCCATTCTGTCATTCTGTCATCCTCTCTCACTGCTTCACCGGTTAACCTGTCCTGCTGGCTGGCACCTCTTCCTGCCGGTGGGGCTGATAGAGGAGAACTGTACCCACTGTGTTCAGTGAGGAGCGGCTTACAGCACACTAGACACTATCCCACATTTGTAGGCTGCCCAACAGCTTCGGCTCACATTTCCTGGATGCTTCTAAGTCAGGCATGGGGATAGTAACTAAAGCAGGAAGGTTTGGAGAGATGAAGTATTGCACCTCTGGATATATACAGGCAGAACTGAGAGAAAGCCTACAAAATTGGTCTCCAAACCCCAAAGGTTTATACAGTATTAGATTAAAATGAACATCACTGACTCCTTAAAGGAGAACAGAGATGACAGAAGAGCAGTATTCAGCTTGTTGAGTGAGGTTCAGGCCTCCTTTTCTTCAACTGATGAGAATTACTATCTTTCCTTCTTCCAAGGCTCTGCCCATCCATCAGTCACCCTCAAAGTGTCCGCTGTGGATCTGTGATTGGCTCATTAAAGAGGAAACCCAAACAGCATTTTTAAAAGCAATAAAAGGGGTAAGTGATTTTCTGTATCTCGTTTTTTTAACAAATGCTTAATTATTTTCTTCTAGTAGTTAATTGCCAGTAGAATAATTTTAGTTTGCATAATGCAATGATTTCAGTTCAAAACCTAAAAGCTAGCTAGTTTAATATTCAGTATGTTTTTCAATCATGTCTTATCTACTACCCTCACTCACCCATATCATATCAGTTCACTCTATTGTTTATTTTGTATGCTGTCTCCATAAATAGAGTGAAAGTTTCTTGGATGGCAGGAAATTTCTTTGCACCTGGCTACCTGGTATACTTCATTTAAATAGATAAAGGGAACCACAGGCTCCTTTTTCCTAAGCCATCAGAAATCCTAAATTTGGTTCTCAAGTCTAGAAGCCCCTTGTAATTCAGGTGGGTTTTTTTTTTTTCACAATTATTCTCCTTTTCCTTCTTTTGTATTAAATGTGAATTTTGCCTTTAACCTTCCATCTTAGTGGACACACAGAACCAGTGATTGTCGTTGACGTTTAAAAAAATTCTATGCCAATTTTAGAAAGTAGATGAAGCGAAACAAAGAAAATTAATGCTCACTCATTACATGTTTATTGTAGTGAAATGTGATGTCAACATTTTAAAATGTCTTTTAGCTATTTAAATTTACATCCTTTTCTTTCCCTATTTCATTCAATTTGCTTTTAGAGTTAGGGGGTATTCTTAAACTTACCGCATTGATTCCAGAAAATTGCTGGGCCATATGCAGCATCAATGCCACTATAATAGACTGTCGGTAGCTGGAATTGGTGAAGAGCTGAATTATGGAGACTTTTTGTTCACTTGATGCTTCTTCCTTTTCTTTTCTCATCTCAGTGATGTCTTTGGTGACATCATCACTTCCTCTGAGTCTTTTCAAGCCTGTCCCCCAAAATGATCAGGTTGACACAACTCAGGTCAAAACAAAAGTAAATTTACTTTTATTATGTTTTTGAAAGAGTTACAGATCTGCATAGCTCTTTCTATTGCTTTACAGCATGGGTGTTGGACATTCTTTTTGTTAAATTAAATCCTGTTTTAAAATTTTTAAAAGCACATTTGGTTTTATCTAATGACAAAGAAAACTATGATCTTTATTATCATAGAAGCGTAATGCAAGTAAAGGTCTTTTAGAAACCTCTGGTTAAGTCCAATACCCTGCATGTGGGTTTCCCATTTGGGCTCGAGTGTTTATGGGTTTGAAATGGCATGCATGAGTCATATTGAGGTGATCTTTCACAATGTTCTTACATGTAATCACTGACTTCATTTGGAAAGCTCTGGTACCAATTTGATCAGTAAACATTCATGCTCACTGCTTTTCATTATCTGCTAGTTCCAAAACAATAGGAAGGGGGAAAAAACCCACCCACAGACTTACTTTTCTTTGCTTTGACTTCCTCATCCAACTTGATGTAAAGGTATCTGGGGCTTTCAGGACAGAAGAGGAGCAGCAGAGACTGGAGGATGGCTGGCAGAGCAGACAAACCAAGCAGGATATGCCACTGCTCATGACTGCCCAAGATGAAGTTCAGGCCAACAATCTGAAGAGGCAGGGAGGAAACATAGCAGGTGCACAACATGTTGGGTCTGCTTTCTGCAACTATTTGTTGAAAAAGCACATTGACTGTTTAATAGTATTCCCTGGTGGGGAACCTGGGTGGCTCAGTTCGTCAAGCGTCTGACTTGGGCTCAGGTCACGATCTCATGGTTTGTGGGTTCGAGGCCGTGTCGGGCTCTGTGCTGACAGCTCAGAGCCTGGAGCCTGCTTCGGATTCTGTGTTTCCCTCTCTCTCTGCCCCTTCCCCACTTGTGCTCCCTCTCTATCTCTCTCTAAAACAGATAAATAAACCTACAAAAATAGTATTCCCTGACAACTTGGATTCAAGTATGCTCAAACAGAAACTATTAATATTGTGTCCTACCTTAACTGAATTAGAGACTATTTGTTTTACAAAGAGTTCACTTAGGTTTGTTTTCATTAACTCATATGGGCCATTTAGGATGGGAAACAACCAAACTTTTAAGAACACATTTGACATCTAAAGCAACACCAAAAATCATGTGTAAACTTTGGACATTAAAAAATTTCTTCTTAGATTACTCAGAACTTAAATAAAATGGTATTCCATAGATAGAACAATTATTATAATGGCAGCCCATTTTGTCATTCTTATTGCAGTGGTTTACCCCCTGGATAGTCGTAGGCTAGGGGCTCTGAAGACTCTGAGGTCCATGGGATAGAAGGGAAGGATAGAGCTGGCTGAACGAAAAACTGCTATGATAATCATATACATATTAATTTTCCAGGTAAAATGCTCAAAACAAAGGTAACCCAAGCAGTAAAAAAATGTGAAGTTTCCTATTCTTTGAAATATAAACAGAATAATTGAATTCTACAATAGCTCCAGAAGTTCAAGATCTGGCATGCTGGGTCATCTCTAGTGCCAATCCTACCAGAGATCCAAGGGGAGAATTGAGGAGTGGTGTACTAATCATTTAGCTTTGACATAAAAAGCTTAAGTCTCTACAGCATCTCTACTCCCGCTGGTGGAACTGGTTTTTTCCTTTGTGTTGGTCTACAGTGAGAGTGGACTGTCAGGGAGGGAGAAGTTGGATAGAGGATGGGTGAAGTAGGGGATCCAGTTTTTACCTGACTAATGAGAATGCCTGTGACAATGGCCAGCTGGTGAAGTGTGCCAAGGGCGCCCCTGAGTGTGGTCGGAGCAATTTCACCAATGTACATTGGAACCAAGCCTGAAATTAGCCCTGCATAAAACATGAACATAAATGTGAATGCAAGTGCAGCTGGGACTATCTCAATAACAGTAATTTGGTTTAAGTATGGTCAGTATCCTGACTAAAAGTCCCTTTCAGAGTCTGTTGGAAGGAAGAGCCCTCGTCCCCAGTCTTAGACACAGTTGATGCAAAAAATATTTGTTGAGAAGACTCCAGATGAAGTTGTAGTTGAATATAGGAATGGAAAGAACTGATGAGTCGTGGATTTGGCAATCACTCATAGCACTGCCTTATTTAGTTAAAACCATGTTAAAATGGACTGTACATCATAAGGCCTTAAGTTGTCTTCAGAAAAGAGACGAACAAATGCTTTAATAATATTCTTAATCCAAACTCCTGGTGTGAAAGGAAATGAGCACATATGTAGGCCAACCTTTTCACTTCAAAAAGAGTTTACCTGGGATCACAGTGCAACAGAGCATTATCATGAGAACTACAAGCCCTGAGTGTCCACAACGTGCAAGTGCCTCAAGATCACTGTTAAAGTGATGAGCAGGGGTGTGGAGAGGTGGGAGAGGTTAAGGGGTTCAGGGGCTCTTCCTCCATTTTTCCAACCAGAGCAACCCATCTTCTTTATTCTCTCCCAAAACGGGCTTCAGAAAAGATTTTGGTGCTAAAAGGAATACAAAAAATTTGAAAAGCACTAGGCAATTCTGGCTTCTCTAACTTTCTTAAATGCAGATGTCATTGGCCATGTTGCAGTAGCTGCCAGAGTATCCAGCCATTTGCTGAGCGCACAGGAAGGTCAGACACTATCAATAAGCAAGGCTGAATGAGATGTTTGGCATTTTCTTAAGAATTTAAAAATAATATTTGTTAGAGTCTTCCTCTTAGAGAGATTGTCTATAAAATGGAAATGTATGGTTTTTTTGTAAAAGATGCATTTGGAAACTTTTGATATTTCTTTTAGTGCTTTAAATCGTTCTAAGGTCTCACATGAACAGTTGCATGATTGAAATGGCATCTAAATTTTGGATGACATTTACATGTGACTCTATTGTGTGGTCTGTTGATCTTAAATAAGAAGAAAACCTTTTTTTTTTTTTTTTTTTTTTTGGCTCTATTCCAGGCTGTACTCTCTGTGTAATACTTACCTTTATATCTCAAGAACATAATAATGTAGATAAGCTCACAGGCCTGAAGTGACACAAATTTAAAGTCCAAATGTATTTCCTATTATTTTTAGCAATTTTAATGCTCAGAACAGGACCAGGAATAATTTTAAAAGCTAGTTGGGGAGTACAAGTTACTTGGCTGTGCTAGTGTCCACAATGTTGACAGCATTTCTTTTCAATTTTGCCGAAATATTTGTGATTTTTTTCCTACTGTATGTTAAAAATTGGAGAGAGAAGAAAGAAGAATCATGATTTGGGCCTCCTCAATAGTGTTATTATTTGCATTTTACAGAAGGTTCAGTTAATACATCTAAGGCCAGGCTGAGATAGTGCCAGAATTGATACATGCTGAATCTAAATCTTGCCACATGTGGGTTGACTCTTCACCTTGATAAAGCTATCTTAACTTTTAGCTATTTATATTAACATTGAAAATAACAAAAAAATACTTTTAATTAAGTTATTAACTTATGGATATTTTAGACTTTTGTTTTACCTGATCATTGAAGACACATGAAACTATATAGTCTTTTCTCTTTGGAAGTAAATGTAAACATTTTATACATCATTTTGTGCTCTTGCACGTCCCCTCCTCCCGTGCCCCCAGCCCCAGTGAATATTAGTGCTTTGAAAGGCAGCTATGATTTGGGACAATGTAAAACCTTGGCTCCAAACCACCAGAATCAGGGCTTCACTTGCACTGAGAAGCTAAAGATTTGGCTATTGTAGAGATTAAGTGATCCTCCCTTTGTTCACACCCCTGCTGGTTAAATTTGCTTCTGAAAGTTTGAAACCTCTAAAAGTTTGAAAAGCTGTTTCCCAGAACTAGTCATTCCAGATATTCAGATGTGAGGCTCACAGGGGGAGCATCCTTCATCCATTGTGAACTCTTCAATCATCTGCTGCTGCGTGACTCCCTCTCCTTATGGTCACCGTCACTGTAATGCTTCACCCAACCATGTCTGGAATCCAATGGCTAGGGAATGTGGTCTGAGAGATGGGCCCGAGTGTCAAGGTCTTTCCAGAAAGGAGAGACAGAGACATAAGTGGCCAAATAGGCCCGAAGAGCTGAGTTGGGGGTTGCGGGTGTAGAAGCATGCTACTGTCTCCGCACAACAGAAGCGATAACGACAGCTAGCTTTTCTTGGCAGCTTGCTGTAGTCAGATCCTATGCTGAACATTTACATGTATTCTCACAAGTGCCTTACATGGTAGATATTATCTCCTTCGTTTAACAGATAATGAAACTAAGAGTTAAATAATTTATCTGAGATGATACCACTAGAAACTGCCATGAGCAAGAAGATAGCTTCACAACTCCCACTTACTGGTCCCAAACCTGCTTGACTCTGGACTTCAATTTCATGCTATTGCCTTTCCCTTTTGTGACGCCACCTTAGGCTCAAAAACTTCCCTGCATGTTACCACATCTGCCGTTAGAATTTTTCAGACAGATGTGTGTGTGTGTGTGTGTGCACATGCACATGTATGACTTACCACAATAGAGTCCTGATATGCTTCTTCCTGAAATTATAAGAATGTGAGATGGTCCCAGTTTGGAAAACCCCATCAAGAGAGCTCCAGCTAATGAGAGAACATTTGCTACCAACATGGCTTTGATTCTGAAATTTTAAAAAGCAAGGATTATAAGTTCAGCATCAAAACTTGATAAAATTATTTGCCCTCAGAGTATGCTAAGGTATTTACCTAAGAGCAGTTATTTTAATTTTGCTGAAACAGCTAGTTGGGGATCTTAAACCATGACTGCTAGTTTGATTTATCTGTTGTCTAAAGCATTAACGATTAATGTTTATAATGAGAAAATCTGAGTTTCATGCACATGATCTCCACATTTTATTTTATTTTATTTTTTTAAATTTTTTTTTTCAACGTTTATTTATTTTTGGGACAGAGCGAGACAGAGCATGAACGGGGGAGGGGCAGAGAGAGAGGGAGACACAGAATCGGAAACAGGCTCCAGGCTCTGAGCCATCAGCCCAGAGCCCGACGCGGGGCTCGAACTCACGGACCGCGAGATCGTGACCTGGCTGAAGTCGGACGCTTAACCGACTGCGCCACCCAGGCGCCCCATGATCTCCACATTTTAATAGAGATGATTCAATTGTGGTGATGACTGATTTGCTTTAAGATAATACTTCTGAAACTTTTTCAAACAATTAATGAATTAAGTTTTCTTCAAGAGGGCACCTGGCTGGCTCAGTTGGTAGAACATGTGACTCTTGATCTCAGGGTGAGGAGTTCAAGCCCTACATTGGGGGTGGAGCTTACTTAAAAAAAAAAAAGAGTATAGATACAATTAAAAATAAAAATAAATAATTAAGTTTTCTTCAAGTTGATTGCTGTAAGGAATAATTGCCTGTTGATAGCTATATTCAACACTGTAGTTGTAACTTATGACTTTCTTTCTTTCTTTCTCTTTCTTTCTCTTTCTTTCTTTCTTTCTTTCTTTCTTTCTTCTTTCTTTTCTCTTTCTCCCTTCCTTCCTTCCTTCCTTCCTTCCTTCCTTCCTTTCTTAATGGTGCACATTTTTAGTTGATGTAGGTCATGTAAGGAACTTTCAAAGTTAAATTTCCTTTAACATGAATT